TGGTTCGATGATCAGAATTTGGAGCTGCTACTTAGGAGTTATTATAATTTAATATATTACTTAGGAAATGTCCAGAAACATAGTTTTTATTTTATGCATTGTACGAACAAGTTCCAAATTTTTCGTTTATTATCAATAGAAGTGAAATTTTGGTTTATCTGGTTTGCTTACTTTATTACAATGGTATTGATGAGAGTTTTGATTACATTTCTAATATTATCAATATTAGTTATGGATTTGATTCTTTTTATTTCAATTGTGGTAATGTCATAATCAACTAAGTGATAATGTATTCTCATCACCCAAGTATCAATTGGACATAAACTTTGGAGTCATGCAATTCGAATTGTGTAATGTATGAGAATTTTGATCGTTGGAAGATTATGAATAACTCATTGATCACATGTTTATGTGAGTCAAAGTGAAGGACTAATGGATCTGGTCTATTGATATTGACTCTTCAGATCCACCGCAAAGGATAATAACTCTATTCGTCATGATTTACTTATGTTTCAGTAAAGATGGTTGTGTTTATAAAATTAAGCATAATTCTTATACTTTGAAAAAGTTTCAAAGAGTAGCAGAACGGATAAGAAGAATCAATTAGTCAGAAAGATAAAAGTTTCTCCAATCTGAAAGGAAAGGTGAGTACTTTAGTATCGTGTTTTGTGATCTTCTTAATGATTGTTGTACTATATCACTGTTGATCTTTGAAGATAATCTTAGTGCAATTGTTTGACTAAGAAGAGAAATCGGATATTGTTGAAATGGTTCAATCAAGAGGTGAGTCATACTTTGATTCCAATCAAGTATTAGAGCCATGCTCTAGTTACTACAAATCATACCTTGAAGCTCATTTCATACTAAGTAGGTTTATAAAACCTCATGAAATGTGGAGTAATAATGTTTTCTTACTCTATCACATTTGGAATTGGTAGTTGTGATGTTTTGGTTAAAACAAAGGATAAACTAAGACAAAATTCAATGAAGTGTTTTCTTGTCTAGAATCCACACTAACTTTTGAATATTTGTTTTTGCTCGTCAAGGAATGTTCCTTGAAAAAGAAAACTTATATGTCAAGAAGTTAGTGGGAGCCTTATTAATCTTGAAAAGTTCAGGAACCAATCGAGAATAAACCTTTTAGTTATCACTAGCACACGACCTGAGGTTGATAACCTATCATGTTAAGTTTACACATTCTTGTTTCTGTGCACTTTCCAGTTGAGTTTGCAATGCTTATGAGTTCTATGGTTCTCATTTGACTGCAAAAGGCGAAGCATGTTGGTCAATGAATGTACATTGATCAATATGGGTGAGCTCCTTAACAACGCGGAAGCACTGGTAGGCTCTTGTGCTGCCAGAAGGCAGGAAATTAAAAATAAGCAAAGTTATGTCCATGAAAGGAAAACTAAATTTGATTTTGGTTTTGTCCTCAACCTTATCTTATGACCGTGGGTTGGAAATGATAGATTCACATAAATGGGAACATTTACATCATAAAATCTAGGTGGAAAAAGGTTTTTCTCTAATTCATGAGTGGTTATGAGGAAACACTTTCGCTAACAGATTTTAAAGATCTGATAAGTAACATCATGGTTAGTAGTTGTGATAATTGCATTCTCAAATTCACAATATGATTACAGCATCCCTTTTCATAGTTCGAATTGTGAGAAATGACAAAGAATTGTTTGAACCTTCGGTACATATGGTTATAAGTTCTTAAAGGGTTTGGACACACACACACACACATATGCTATCTAATGAAAGGTGTATAAGCTTGAGAAGTCTAGCTAGAGACTTATCGAAGCATCACGTATTAGAAATTTTCATTTTAGTAAAAAAGTCAAGAGTATTGACATCTAGAAGTCCAATTGATTTCTGGATACATGTCAAAGCTAGTGGGAGCATAATTGTTATGGTAAGTGTTGCGAGTTGGCAATACTATTTTTAGTAAACAAAGTTTACAAATTTGCAAGTTGCAAAGCTTGGAACTTGTTTGTCTATGCTAGACTTAAGGGAGAGGGCACTTATACTTCGTTTCAAATCTAAAAGCTTAGATTGGAGGTTCTAATAGAACTTAGTCATGAATATATATGAATATCATGTTGAAATGATTCAACATAGGAAAATCAATATATGGAAATATTGTAGCAAAAGATACAAGGTCTTATGAATCGAGTCTCATATGCTTCGGATATAGGATCGATTGCATATGCTATGATATTCACTTGTTCTGATTTTTCCAAAATACCTTGGACATTGATAGGTAAAAGGGACTAGAACTTTGTGTGACTAAAGTTACTAAACAATTGTTCATAACATTCTGAGGTATGATTATCATTAAGTCACTTGCTAAAATGGATGACTAGTGAATTTGGCAACACTCCGCTTAACACCTTGACTTTTCCTTTGATGTGACCTAAGTATGATTATCATTAAGTCAGGTCTCATATTTCTTATGACTAATGATAGTCTAGATTCCTCAATAATCCCAATATTTACATCAAGATCAATCAAGTAAGGAGCAACCAAGTAAAATTATTCTGGAGGTATGGTCTATTTGGTATACAAATTATATTGTTTAGAAATCACACTTTAAACGCCTCACTAAATCTAGCCTAGACATCACCCCCATAAGTAGATCAATCAATATAATAACCTGGAATCACTTATAAATCTTATTTATAAATTCATAACGACTATGAATATAAATATAAGTTACACTTGAAATAAAATAAGTGCAGCTTAACTTACAGAGGTTTTAGCGAAAACCACGAAATTGCATAGGCAGAACTCCGACATGAATACTTCTTTTCATTAGGCTCCTAGAGCTCCAGAGTTTCTACTAAAATGTTCTAAAAGTTGGGAAGAATCGAACTCAAAGGCGAGAGAGATTTTTTAGTGATTTGTGAGGAAATGAGAAGAAAATCGGCAACATTATATAGGGTTCAGGGGGCGTGCAACATTCAGAAAAGAGGCGCACCGCGCCTCAGGAGGAGTGTGCTGGCCCATCATAAATGTGTCACGTGTCACAATCACATAAGCCCACATCATCCCTTCTAGAAGATGACATGTGTTATTCTCACTACGCCACGTGTCACGACCACATTACTCCATGTCACCGTATCTCTTGGAGGAGCCGGCTATCCAACCACGCCATGTGGCGCCACCAGGTGGTGCCACGTCATTAGCTTAGGTAAATTCTCGTAGATCTTCGAATGGCCATAATTTTCACATATGAGCTCCGTTTTTAGTTTTCTTTATATCCTCGGAATCCTCTTAACGAGCTCTACAACTTTCATTAAGGTCTCAATAACTAATTCTCATTCTAACTAAAATTCATATATAGACTGGTTTAGATTTTTAAAGTCCGTGCGAAATTCTTAACTTTTTCATACGAACTTCATTCTTGATTGTCTTTATATCGACTCTTAATCACGGGATCTTCAACACTCAATTAGATTGTTTTATCTAACAGTAAGCCAATTTGAATTTCGATTTCTTTGTCCGCACTACTACGTTGAAACTTCGAAAAATCATAACTTCCTCATACGAATTTAGATTTAGACGTTCTCTTTATGCACGCTCTAGATTTTACGATTAATATGACTTTCATTTAGATTATTTAGGATAATAAGAAACCTATCTAAACTTCACTTTTTAAGACGTACATAATTGTGTCGATTTAATCGCGAAACTTCAAAGAAGCATAACTTTTTCATACGAAGTCAGATTTCAGAGTTCTTTATATGTACGGGATCATTGTCACATCTAGTATAACTTTGGTTAAGATTATTTATCCTAATAACCTTCTATCAAAATGTCGTTTTATCGCTTTTCGATAAATTCCCTAAAACACTTATAATAGGCAGTCTGCGACACACGAGACTAACGATTTCCCTACTCGAATGTTCATATTATAATAATGATCACTTATTATTTCTTAATTGTCTAGTCCGAAGTTATGGGCGTTAAAGTATGTGACATTCCCACCTGAGTTAACATTTGTATCATCCTAATAACCCGTTTTGGATCATCACAAGGTAGTCTTTCCAGGGTGGGATTCCATTAGGGCACAACTTACTCAAAAGAGAATCCTTGTTTGGTCTTGTTCATTGGACTACTGAAATCATTTAGGTTAATTATATCATCCATTTCTCTTGACATATCTGCTATGCTACACTTGAATAGTTTTAGTTTTCCTCGGAACTAACAACTTAATATTCATCTTCATCAAACAACACATGCATGTTCGTACCAAAATGGTCGATGTACATCGGCAGTTGGACTCTACAACCATATAATGTCGATGAACTCAAGATATTCTATCTCATTAGAATTCAACCTTAATCCTTCACACAATCATTCTTCTGGCTAACAATAGTACAGATTCTCATACTTCTCTTGTGTAAATCATTCAAAAAATGCAACGCATTCTAGGTCCATCCAAGAAAAATCAACATCCTCGAAAAAAAACACATGATTTGTATCCAATCATAGTAACAAAATGGGTTCATGACGAACATTCCTTAAGTGAATATTGATCTTCACGTATTGTGAGAAGGGTTGTGCTTGAAACGAGAAATAAAAGACTCTGAATCATGATATTTTATTCTCTTATGGATTCCGAATGGCACTCTCTATGGCATTCTCTGCCTTTACCTAATGCAACACATAACTTGGTTGACTAGACAAAAGATGACAGGTTCACCCCCTTCATTTTGTTGATAATGAGTTTTCTAACACATAAAACTAGACTCTAAGCACATATCCTATCAAAAGAAACACAAACGACCTTTTAAAATAAAACTCGAGAGTTTGTATGACATCTGTGATGTTATCCCTTGATTATAATGGATGGAAGTCTACTTTTAACAACCCTTTCTTAATATAACAATAGTTTAATTATATTTTCTTTCACAAAATCATAAATATCTATTATAAAAACCCTACAAAGTCACATATCCACCATATCATCAGAAATTGCAAGTTTTAAAATCCATATATTCAAAAAAAACTTACATCACTTATATATATATGTTCTATTACTATAACATAAACAAAAATAACCTCAAACTTATAAAAAGAAACCACATTCTTTCACCATCATATTCATATCCTACTACATACACTTCCTAAATCCCATTAAAAAAAAACAGAGCAACCAACTTTCATAACCTCAAACAATGGTTAAAAAAGTCGATTCCTCTCGAAAAAATAACTTTTTTTTTCTTTCTTTTAATCAAACTTCAGCTAAATCCGAAGGATTCCATATACAAACCTCCAAATTCAATTCTCCAGACGAATTCAAATACCCAAAAGGCACCAAAAGAAAATCCGAAGGTGGAATTCCTTCAACCCTTCCAGGAAGAGTCTGTGTGAAGGATTTCAACCGCAATGTACTATTCCCTCTTTCCGATACTAGACAGTAATGGAATCGCTCATTACTGTGACTCGGGCCAATACACGTTACCATAACCGTATGTCCGATGTTTTCGGTTCCTTTATTGAGTAAAAAAAGAGCTCCATCTTCTTCTGCTTGAAGAACAAGGAAGGTTTCATCCATTCCTAATGACACTGGTAATGGGGAGGAATATTGGAATCGCCTTCCAGAATCCCAATGTTTGGTGGTGAAATGATTTGATAACTCTGTGAATAATCCTGTGAAGTTGCAGTTTAGAAGAGGGCATGTGGTTTGGGATCCGTATATGTTGCGATTTGTGTGTGTGTATTCTAGTGTGTTTTTGTAGGTGTAGTTGTCGATTCGGACAGGTGGCGTGTTCTCGTTCTTGTATGCAAACGGTACGTTTTCCTGCAGCCACAAGGGTATTTTCGTCTTTTAACAAAACACAAAAAACGAACCGAATTGAATTGAATTTAAATGAATTGATTTGGATTGAATTCCTTCCACCCTCCTCCCCTGGAAAGGATGATGGATTTGGATTCTTTCCATTCGAAAACCAAACATGCCATGGAATGGAATCTTGGATTCTGATTCCGGTGGGAATCTTGGATTACGATTCCGGTTGGAATATTGGATTCCGGTTCCGGTGGGAATCTTGGATTCCGGTTCCGGTTGGAATCTTGGATTCCGATTCCGGATGGAACTGTATATTAAAAAGAAAGTTATTTTAGAGAAATGGTAATTTTTTTTACCAGATTTTCTTCTTGTCGAACAAGAGTACCACGGTTAACTCTAACAGCGACTTCTCTTAATGGGAGGACATCAACATGATCCCTGTCATTTATTAATCCCAACCCAAGACCTCTCTCCTTGCATATCACCTTCAAATGAAAAATAAATATTAAAATTTTTAGATGAAGAATTTTTTTTTTTGAATTGATCAAGATTGTTTTAAAAACATAGTACTTGGATTTCTTGCAAAATTACAAAAGTCCAAATACATAGTACTTGTTCTTTTTGGAATTTAATTTCCATGAATTGTCCAAAAAACACCAACTTTTCTTAAATTTGCATATGTATATGTATCTTATACACATATATATATATATATATATATATATATATATATATATATATATATATACACCCATGTAAAAAAAATTCATTTAAATCCAAAAAAAGAAAAACTTACCTCTCCACATCCATAACCACCAAGCTCTTTCTCCTGTTTCTCTCTCTCAGAAATAGCTTCCTCTGTCCACAACGATAAACATGGAACAACAACAGGACCTGGTTCACAACTCCCTCCAATCGCAACACACTCATAGTAAAAAATCTGTAAAAACATCAACAAATCTCAAACCCCACATAAAAAAAAAAAAAAAACAAAAATATATTCAAAAACTCACCTGAAGAAACAAAAGACACCCTCCAACTGCTCTTTGTTTCCCTTGTCTAAACCTTGACACCTCTCTAACCAACCGATCAAGCAAGAATTTTGCCCAATTATACTCATGAATACAATCCATATCAGTTAAAAGATGAAGAAACGAAGGGCTAACATCTAATCTTGCAGTTGGACACAAAAGGGTACCCAAAACATACAAAAGAAACGCCCTTTTGAAATCATCTCCTGCTTCCGGTTGCCCTAATCTTTCTTCAAGAAACCTAACCGAAATCCCTCGATTTGATGCGTTATATTTTTGTCTTAATTCTGCAACTAAGTCATCGGGTCCCGAGTTGACCACATCTTTTCCGGATGCTGGTAATCCCATTACAAGTTCAACATCGTGAGGGTATAATGGGATTCTTTCACCACAAATCTCTAAACTACGTCGTATTGTGTTGAATCTTTCTAGAAGCCATAGGCATAGACTGCGTCTTAAGGTTCTACATTTGAGGTCAAGAAGACTACCGAAACCCATGCTTTTTACCGCTTCTTTTTGGTCAACGGTAAAGTGTTTCAACACGTTGACTAACCGTCCGGGAGAACACCGAGTCACTAAGTTTGCCTGCAAGATAAACGTAATATGTATAAATCAGGTACACAGTGGCCCACTAGATTGCTGACATAAACAGACTGTCAGAAGCATCTGTAATAAATCAGGTACACAATAGTCCATTAGGTTGTTGACATCAATCAAGTACACAGTGGTCCACTATGTTGCTAACATAAACATAAACAGACTGTCAAAAGCATCTGTAATAATTAATAAATCAGGTACACAATAGCCCTCTAGGTTGTTGACATAAAGCAAGTACACAGTGGTCCTACCAGATTGTTGACATAAACAGACAGTCAGAAGCAAGTGTAATAAGTCAAGTACACAGTGGCCCACTAGGAGGCTGCTAACATAAACAGATAGTCAGAAGCATCTGTAATAATTAATAAATCAGGTACACAATGGCCCACTAGGTTGTTGACATAAATCAAGTACACAGTGGCCCTACTAGGTTGCTGACATCAACTGACAGTCAGAAGCAAGCAAGTGTAATAAGTCAAGTACACAGTGGCCCACTAGGAGGCTGCTAACATAAACAAATAGTCAGAAGCATCTGTAATAATTAATAAATCAGGTACACAATGGCCCACTAGGTTGTTGACATAAATCAAGTAAACAGTGACCCTACTAGGTTGCTGACATCAACTGACAGTCAGAAGCATGTGTAATAAATAAGGTACACAGTGGTCCACTAGGTTGCTGACATAAAGCAAGTACAGAGTGGCCCACTAGGTTGCTGACATAAACAAACAGTCAGAAGCAAGTGTAATAAGTTAGGCCTAGGAGGCTGCTGACATAAACAAATAGTCAGAAGCAACTGTAATAATTAATAAATCAGGTACACAATGGCCCACTAGGTTAACAAAAATCAAGTACACAGTGGCCCTACTAGGTTGCTGACATAAACAGACTGTCAAAAGCATGTGTAATAAATCAGGTACACAGTTGTCCACTAGATTGCTGACATAAACAGACTGTCAGAAGCATCTATAATAAATCAGGTACACAATAGTCCATTAGGTTGTTGACATCAATCAAGTACACAGTGGCCCACTATGTTGCTGACATAAACATAAACAGACTGTCAAAAGCATCTGTAATAATTAATAAATCAGGTACACAATAGCCCACTACGTTGTTTGACATAAATCAAGTACACAGTGGCCCAACTAGGTTGCTGACATAAACAGACTGTCAAAAGCATGTGTAATAAATCAGGTACACAGTGGCCCACTAGGTTGCTGACATAAAAAGACACATCAAAAAAGATGGTGTCACCTGTTTTCTCGGTTTAGGTTCACGAGCAGGTGCGGAACTCAAGTAGTCATCCCACACTTCACGTGCACGTTTCGTGTATTTTGACTTTTCTTCTAAAGTCATCACTTTCCATGCATCTGAAGCTGCTCTTGTTGCCTGAAAGAAGATAACATCAACATCAACATGAACTCCATTTAACAATTTTTAATGGTTTTTTTTATCGTATCAGATGCTTACAACTTTCAGACCAGAAGATTCGGGATGTGAAGCACTGTACTCCTTGATGAATTCACGGCTAGAACATTTTTAACAATACGTATATCAAAAAATTAACCCACGTGTTAAAAGGAGAAGCAAAATGAGTAATAAGAAAATTTATATTTTTTTTATCACCTAAAATGTACCCAAGAGCAAGCAGGACGAGGTGTACCACTTTGCTTCTTCTTTTTCTTCCTTCTGCTCCCTTCGAGCTCAAGACCTGTCATTTCTTTTCTCTTTATCACCATGGAATCACTTTCACTTGGCACCTATTTGAAAAAGAACAAGTCCCCGAGTCGTCTTTTAAATGATGCGATAACAGAAATTGATCAAGATTACACATAATCACACTAATCATCAGCTAATATTGCAAATACTTTCAAGAAATTCATCCTAGGAAATTATTGTTTTACCTAGATTGCGACTATAGTAATAGGTGTGTGCTGACGGGATGAATTAAACTCATCATTAGTTGCAATTAATATCGAATTGAATAAAAGAAACAAATAGAGCTTTATTCCACACTCGGGAATGGAATATTTTACAATCTAAATCAAGAATCAAGATCATACGTATGTCATTATCATAAACCGATCAGAAAGATTACACTTTCCGAAACATATATCGCTATGTAAATTGAAGATCAAAGCCAAATTGAAAAGGGGGAATCGGTACCATTGGAGAGAAAATGTCAGCTCCATCGTCGAAATTGGGGGAGCTATCAGTAACCATGTATACAAGATTGTAAGAAGGTGAATTAGGGTTGTAAAAGGGGGGAAATTTGATAATTTGGAGTTTCTTTTTATAGGGTTGAGGATTGTGAGCGAATCGGCAGTGAGTTTGTCTGCGATTACGGAGAATTGAGAGGGGAAAGAAGGAACGATGGAGTTTGAGGAGTTTTCTTTTTTCCGATTCTGATCGGATGCATTTGAAACGAACCCCATCTTTGCATTTTATTGCTATTGCGAATTGTACACAAATGGTCCCTATACTATGCATCTAAGTTCCAATATCCAACCTTCGATTTTGTTGGAAATTTGTCGGTAACTTTGGCTTTTGTTTCGATATTGGTCCCCCCTACTAAATATGTTAGTATTATGCTACTAAAGCATTGTAAAATGACATTTTTACCCATCCCTAATGTTTTTATTCACCATTCATAGACGAGACGACCACCTTATCCTCTTCGTCCCTCTTTCTTCCCACATAGTTAGAGGTGCGTTTCTCTTTCCTTCGATCATAAAACAAAAATGGAGAATGGAGAACGGTGTTGCCACCATCTTTCATCGTATTGGTTCACCTCGAGAAATTTCCCCTTCATTGCCCTTATATCGTCTCTTTTGTACCTATATTTTTAAAAGCTCAATTGACTAAAAAATGATGTTTTGAATGAGGGTTAACGGGAGAAAAAAGGGGCGAGTTGATGGGTTTTACTGGTAATGGGGAAAAACATTCAAATGTTAGAATTTGAAATAATAAAGATGGATTGCTATAAATTACTTACCATTAAGGTGACTATTAAATGTGACTCGATCATTTGGATCATGTTCATGGAGCACTTGGAACTCAATTGAGCATTTAGGGTTCATGGAGCATGTGACAAAGGAAATGATCATCTGAGAAAGGAATGGATCATCTGACAAAGGAATGGATCAAGTACCAAAGGAACAGATCATACAGAAGGGGGTTTGGAGAACCTGGAAGAGGTTTGGAGCACTTAGGAGTGATATGGAGCAACAAAGGGACCTTGTTGCATCATATGTTATAGGGATGAGCCAAGAAGGATGTTGTTGCGCCAAGGGCATTCCTTCTTGCACCATTATACTCCCTATTGCGCCATGAGGGGTTCCTCTTGCGCCATGGGGTACTCATGTTATGCCATGGAGTATGCTCTTGCGCCGTGTGTGTTCCTGTTACGCCGAGGTGGTGTTGTTGCTTCAATCTTGATGTTCTTGTGCCACACTTGAAGCATGATGTGCCATCCATACATTTTTATGCCATCATGGCACAAGTTGGACCATCTTGGTCCTTGATGAGCCAAGTATGTTATGAAGTCCTCCATGATTCTCAAGATCGTTCAAGGATGCTCAGAAGTTGGTATTACTCAAGGATTACACCATGTTGTGCCACCATGATAGATGTTGGGCTATTAGTGTTCTTGATGCGCCACTTGTACATCATGATTCTCCACTATGGCACAAGGTGCTCCATCATGTGTGTTGTTGATGCTCATGGGTTGTATGGCATGGAAGAATGTTCAAGAAGATGGTGCATGGCGGATTGTGATTGGTTGACACCTTTCATGGGTGTCACACCCCAAAACCGGAATGGCAGAAACATTTTGGGGTGGAGGACGTCATGTTTAGTATCACAAGACATGCATCATAGTAATCAAAGTAATAAACAACCATTTCATTAGAAAGAAAGTGTTTACAAAGTATGTGGTTCACATAACATAGACTACAAAGTAAATAACCAAAAAGACATGAAGCTATTATGCTCCATCTTCTGAATCCCAGTGCGCGTACCTGTCTACTGGTTTCATAAGAATACAAGGTATTTTGAAAGAGTTTATCAGCATTTAAGCTAGTGAGTTCATAAGATTTTAGTGATGCAATGTAAGTTGTAAGAAAGTTGTAGTAAGTTGTAAGTTCTATTTAGAAAAAGTTCGCCTATTCCTCCAGAAAATCCTATATTTCCTGCTTTGATGAAAGATAAGTAAAAATGACTCTACATTCCTTTCTATGAGTACTAAGTGGATACAAGTTATATAAAACCCAGAGTAAACAAACAATCGATTGTGTGTATCTTCCCTAAGCCCACAACCAAACAAGGAACATGAAATGAGGCGGAAGGCACGCCTCCCATTGTTTGTTAGGTCATCGTTGTATATAACCCGAGCATATTTACTTGGTACTCACGGAGTTAACTGTAATAGTTCCTCTATATTTAATGAAAACATTCCTTAAGGAAAACCCTTATTTCCTTTAGTAAAAATGGTAACCACAATAGTTCCTTCTATAATCACTTAGTTTATACAAGCTATATATAATTTAATATCGAACAGATAGATAATTGTGTGGATCTGCCCTAAGCCCACAACCAAACAAGGAACAGGAAGTAAGGCGGAAAGCACACATCCAACTGTCTATCGGATATTAATTATATATAAATCTAATGGATAAACTAAGGTATTACGGAATTAAACACTAAAGGTCCTTTAAGTATATTGGTTTAATAAAATGGATTAAACCCTTTTTACTGATAAGTTTGTAGTTTAGTCTATTGTCACAACTAGAAATTTGGATGTTTGTAACAACAAAAATTATATCAAATGTGAACCAAAAATGTGAAAGCATGTATGATGCTTATTCAACAACAACAAAACTTCCATCAAACACTTTATAAAAGCACATCAAATAGTCAACAAAAGGTTGAAAACCCTAAAAATCCCGGTTTAAGTCCATTTTGGACTAGGATTTCCTTATTGGGCCGAATGGACCAATAAACTTCCAATTTGACTACTTTGGGCTTAGAATTCTTATATGGGCTCTAATTTGGACCCACTTTCATTTATTTTAACATTTTGGGCCATATTGGGCCTAGAATGAAATAAAATACACTAATGGACCTTATTGGGCTATAACAAAACTTAATAGCCCTAATGGGCTGTAAAGCTCATACTTTGATGAATTTTGGGCCGTGAATTACCCTAAAAGGGCCAATGGGCCGAAAATAATTAACTTGGGCTCCACAATATAGGTTTAAATACAAAAGGCCCAAACATTCTATTCTTCCTACTCTCTCTCGGCCCAACTACAAAAGAAAGGGGAGGAGTTGACTTTTAGTGCCACCTCACAATTGTACATGGGGTATCCATGCACTCTCCTCACGTTTCCATGCATGGTCACCTCAACACTCTCTATTCTATCTCTTATCTATCCTCGGTCGAGAGCAAGGGAAAGCACGCACACACAAAACACTTAAAACTCTCTCTAAGTCTTCAAGAACATCTTCTCACTTCTCCTTCAAAACTTTCAAGATTTAAGAACTTTTCAAGGGGGATTTTCCACAAAATTCATCATCTAAGGTAAGTTAATGTTTAATCTATGATCTAACAACTTTATTTCATCAAAAACTTCTTCCTAATTTATTCAAACTCATGATCACCATCTTAGAAGCCTCTAAGTTCGAAATCTTCCAAGAAGGCTTGCTAGGATCGAATCTTCTTCATTTCTCTCTTAAAAACCGAACCCACAACTCAAGGTGAGCTTCATACCCCTCTCTTTTTGGTTTTCATAAGTTTATGGGGGAGAATACAAGCAAAATGTGTAGATCTATGTGTATGTGTGTGTTATGTATGATTTTATGCATGTATGTGTGACTTTATGTGTTTTTGTGTGGAATATGTAAACAAAAAGGGAAGAAATCTCGAGATCTATGACATAATAAAGAAATCAAACATGATCTAAGTTATCTTACACTAAACTAGTCAAGAATAATAACTTATAAGATTGTGATAAACATATTTCACCACAAAACCCATTTTTAGGCTTAAATTGTCAAATATACAAAAGTTGGGCTAAAAGTTGCTAATTCACGTTTTCTTAAAGGTATAAAGGGCCAAAACAGTTACAATAATTGCTTTTCTGAACATTATGATCTTCAAAGGACTTAAAATGTAAATATTAGCTTAATAGGCTAAATTTTTGGCCTTTCGGCCCAATAAGCCCAAAATTGTGAACATATGACATTTAAAAGGGCTGAAGTAGTAAACTCTTCAAAAAAAGGGGATAAAAAGTGTAACAAAACTATTCCAAGGGTTAAAGATGGTTTTCATTTCCAAAAAGGATCAAAAATGTAAAGTTTTTGGATTTTGGGCTAAAAGTGTAAAAATTGCAAAAAGTTGGGCTTTAACCGGAAAATATCATTCTGGAAGGGCTGAAACTGTTAACAAAATAAGTTTCAAGTTAAAAATATCATTTCAACAAATCTATGATGTAAAAGTGTCAAGAAAATGTTTTAAGGACCTAAAATGATTTTTCTTTTATATTAAGGACTACATTTGTTATTTTACAAAAGAAAGGGGCTGAAAAGGTCAAACCACTATTTTTAAACCAATTATTTTATTTATAGAATATTGAGTCAAAAATACTAATCTACGGTTTACAAAATCGAAAGATAAATACACGTATAACTCCAAATATCGTTATAAACAAATCGATCGGTCTCGAGTCGATACAAAACAACAATCGTTAAATCGAACTCTCTAGTAGATATGCGATACCTAAGACAAGTAAACATTCGACACTTGGGCTTGAAAGTTTCAAATCATACTTTTTGGACCTTGCAAGTCCATTAACATGATCTTTGGGCCCAAAGGATAATGTTTATATGTTATTGGGCCTTCTATGACCCAATTCCATATAAAGGGACCTTCAATGGCTCTCAAGTGCTATTGGGCCCTAGTGATCCAATAGTATTGCCAGTAAGGTCAAAGTAATCAAATGCGAGATGGGCCAACGAGTCTTTCGCATCCCCGATGGCCTATAGTAAACTCACGAAAGTAGCAGGAATTGTACTCCTCTTTTCCTCGTTTGCTAGGCTTATGAGTAATCAAAGTAAACAGATTCAGGTTGATAATCGAGAGTAATCAAGGTGGTTGGACATAAGTGAGTGATAATGGACGACACCTCTAAGGATCGTTCGTAGTCTAGAGTTATAACTAGTCATTGTCATGAGTGGTTATAACGACTCACAACCTTTAATTAATCCAAAACCATCCAAGTAATCAAGGAAGAGTAATAAAAAATCATTCATTGTGGCGATATATCAATTTGAGAAATCACTGTATTTTATGTATTTGGAAAACATCAAGTTTTTCTTGGAAGTTCAACATTTTCATTTGTATGCTTAATACCAAATCCTACAATTATACATGTCTTTTTGTTTTTGAAATCATCATGCATATATGTAGGGCTGGCAATTCTCGACACGACCCGCGACACGACACGAAAT